TGAAACTTGGTGTGTCATTCACACCAGAATCAAAACAACAATCGATGGAGTGGAGACACCTCATTCTCCGAAAAAACAAAAGTTCAAAGTGACATGTCATCACAAAAATCATGTGCACTGTCTTCTGGGATAGGAAAGGCTTTTGCTTACTGAATTTCCTACCAGAGGTGAAACCATTAATGCGCATTATATTGTGAGACTTTAACAAAACTAAGGTGTGCATTCAAAACAAACGAAGAGAAATGCTCAGTAAAGGAATTATGTTGCTCCATGACAATGCTCGGCCCCATACTGCTGGTGTCACTGAATTGTTAATTCGACAGTTTAATTGGAGCAGTTCGATCACCCGCCGTACAGCCCGGACTTGGCGCCAAAAACTGACTACCACTTGTTCCTGCACATGAAACGCGAGCTTGGTGGCAAGTGCTTTGGATCTGACGATGACACGAAAAATGCTGTGGAGTCGTGGTTATCGAAACTGGCGGGAAGTTTCTTTGACAATGGTATACAAAAACTGGTCACCCGCTATGACAAGTGTTTGATCATTGGCGGAAACTATGTTGAAAAATAGTTTAAGACATGTATTTTCATGTAAAAATAAAATTGGATTCGAAAAAATTGTTCTACAATTTTTTTTTTCTTTTCAAAACGGTACTTAGCTTCCGAATACGCCTCGTATATAGCACTAAAAATACTGCTTATTGATTATACTAATAGTATAAATGCTTATAATGTATGTTTACAAAAACTCAAAAGTGTATTTGAAAACAATAATGAAATAATTTTTCTAAAAAATAACTTCTGAAGCAATAAGATGATATGAATATGTTTACAGGGATACTATGCATAAGGAGCCACATAATACCAATTACCTGGGAGTCATTTTTGATAAGAAATTAACTTGTTGAGGAGATTACTTCAAGGGTACAGAATTAAGGATTTTGAAGATACATGCAGGTGCAAGATGGGAATGCAGCAGAGACACTCTTAATTTAACATTTAAAATGTACATTAGACTTATTTTAACTTCTTGCTTCTTATAACATGTAGTAAACATGTAATGAATAAATTGGAAGCTGCTCAACTTGAGCAGCTTCCAATTTATTTGAAAGTATGTTTAGGCAAAGTATGAAAGTATGTTTGTTATGCAAAGTTTAAAAGTATGTTTAGAATGAGCAGCTTCCATGGTGAATACTGTTTATTCATCGTGGAATATGAATATGTTTACGGCGATATGAATATTGTTCAATTTTAAATTATATGAATTATTGTTTACAGGGATATTATGCTTAAGGAGTCACATAATACCAAGTACCTGCGACTTATTTTTGATAAGGAATTAACTTAGAAGAAACATGTTGAGGAGATTACTTGAAGGATAAAGGACAGACTAAGGATTTTGAAGAGACTTGCAGGTGCGAGATAGGAATGCAGCAGAGACATTCTTAATTTAACATTTAAAATGTATATTAAGACCTATTTTAACTTATTGCTGCGAGTCTCTTATAACGAGCAGTAAAGAGGTAATGAATAAATTGTAAGTTGCTCAAAATCAAATCCTGACACTGATTACTAGAGCAGTTAAAAACACTCCAATCAAGCTATGTCATTGCTTACTGATAATAGACCAATATAAGAGATTATTCAGATAAAGGCCTTGTCTCTTTATGAAAAATTCATTCATCTTCCAGGTAACACCTACTAGAGAAATTATAAACAAAAATAGAAGATTAAAAACACAGACAGGTCCTATACAAAGAATCCGACCATAAAAGAGACTCGATATCCTTCCTGCTGCTGAAATTTTTCCAAATCAACTAGACCCTTGGTGTGTTATGTTATTTGGAGGGTGGAGATCACTTGATCCTACCTGTGCATAAGAAAATTACAAGCTAATTGGAGTTGAGGGCTATAATTCCTACAAATACAGGAAGCTGGTGTCTTCTCTGACTTGTTTGCATTTTATTCGTCCCTTGGTTCACGTACCACTCCATTTGATGGAGAGGTGGGGCCCATTAGGTTAGCTTCTCAACAACTATTTACTAGGTGTGAGAGTTTTGATAATGCTGTTATTTTGTCAGATTCTATGTCTGCAATAAAGCCTATTATCTCTTTGAAACCTGCTAACTCACAAAATATTAAAGACTGTATATCAAATTTACGGACCTTACATAAAAACAGTGGCCAGTGGGTTCTGGCTCACTATGGAATATTTGGCAATGAAACTGCCGATTTTTAGCCAAAAAAGGAACCAAAATCCTATCCCTTATTCTACAGTAGTGCGAGTAATAAAAGAACACACAAATAATGACTTTCGATCCAGGCAAGCAGAACAAACTGAAGAAAAGCATAGGAGGGATTCTTTTTTAAAAATACCTACTGCCTCAAGATGAATCGCTGTTGCAGTTAGACTGGACATGATTGTCTTACGTTTTCTTTATTTAAATTTAGCTTCTTTTCATCTCCTGACTATACATTATGTGGGAGGGACAGTTATGGATGCTTCTCATCTTATGGTATGCCCTAAAATGACTGGACATCTATATGGCAGACAAGAATGAGGCTTCATAATCTTCACTTTTTGACTTTTCTTTCTGACCAATTTATATTCCAAATTTTTGCATTTTGTTTTTTTTCATGTGTTTGTGTTGAGTGTACTTGTCACACTCTAGCCAAAAAAATTAAATGCTTCCATTTTTATCAAAATTTTGAGAGGAGGAGATCTGAATAGTTGTATGGTAAAATTTAAAACATTACCTTAGTAACAGAACTATAAACTCAATTTTTTATATAATAACCTGGACGATAGTTATGAAATCTATCATTATAAAGCTTTCTCAAATATTCAATGTTATTAAAACATTATCTAACTGTTTATGAACAATTAATGTTATTTCTGTGCATTCAAATTTAATAAAAAAATGTTTCAAAAGGGATATTAAAAATAAAAATGGTTGATCTAACATTATGGTAACTTGGCGTTTTTTTGGCGACCAACTCTCCTACAGCAACCCTCTATTTATTTTTTTTTTCCCGCCGCCATTTTGTCTTCACGAAGTAAAGACATGTATTTTTTTCTTTTTTATCTAACTGAACATTTTCTTCCAACAATCTACTAGCCGAATTACACTTATGCTAGAAATTTTATCTAACAAAACTGCTTAATCATGACAAATATTCACTGCAAAATTGGGAAAAAGTGCACAATACCATACTCCTTACGCGTTTTCAAAATAACACATACACATAAACCATGTACACGCCAACTTATTTTTACTTAAAAAAAACATCCCAGAATTACACAAAAATGGCATTGCACACACTCTTCACTATATCCATGTACACTGCGTTTTTCTCATAAATTAAGAAAAATTTCACGAAAATACATGACAATTTTCTGAATCTTTAAACCCGGTAAAAAGAACATATATGAAATTACCTGATCGCGAAAAAGTATATACCCTTTCCAAATATGAACATTTCCACATATAAAATAAATAAAATATCCAAAAACTTTTACCTCTAAATCATCTATTATATTATACAACGTCCACCAACGAATTCATACCGCAAGCATTACAAATACTTAGTGTCAAATATTTAAATTATTTCCATGCACGTTTACTTCAACTTAAACGTATACCAAATGCCTACAAACATAAAATTCACAAAGATAACTATCATTTAATTAAAATATCACTAAACCACGTACACGTCGACTTATTTTTACTTAAAAAAGCATCCCAGAATTGCACAAAATGGCATTGCGCACACTCTTCACTATATCCATGTACACTGCTTTTTTCTCATAAATTAGAAAAATTTCACGAAAATGCATAACACTTTTCTGAATCTTTAAACCCGGTAAAAAAGAACATATATGAAATTACCTGATCGTGAAAAAGTATATACCCTTTCCAAATATGAACATTTCCCCGTATAAAATAAATAAATATCTAAAAACTTTTACCTCTACATTATCTATTATATTACCAAACGTCACTAACTAATTAATACCGCAAACATTACAAATGGTTACAAATACTTAGTGTCAAATATTTAAATTATTTCCATGCACGTTTACGCAAATTACTTTACTTCCACCTTACATTTAGAACAATGCATAAAAATAATATCCTCCAAATAATTAAAAATACTAACTTACCTATTCTTCTTCAGAATCTTAATTACGTGTCCGATAAACTTTTCTTATTTCTGTTTCAGGATCTTTAAAATCATACTTATAGTTCACAGCAAGGTACCAAGTAAAATAAATAACTTAATAAAACATCTTTACTTCTATCTCGCACAACCTTAAAGAAACACTTATCACTACCCCTTTCAATCGCACTAAATACCCATTTCGAATTCACTTTAGTTAGGGCCATGGGATCCAAAAATTAACGAACACTGTTTCACACAACACAGAATAAAGCCAAATACAAAATTTCCAGATTTTTTCCCGATTAAAGAACCGTAATTCGTCCATTAATATCACATGACATATCCCATGATCTCTCATTTCCCTCACACAAAATAATGCGTAATCAGAACTGAGTACTGCTCACATTATTAGCAAAGTCCCAGGTAGTAACCTTTATCGCCTCCAAAATGTCGCCAAACTACCAGTTACCATATTCTAAAGATCAGCCATGAAAATTTATTTAGTAACAGTTTTTGTATATGCAGATTAGATTAACTTCTATAGTTTAAAAGATGGATAAGCAGAAAGTACAAATATTATACACGATAATGATCTATAAGAGTTAGCGACAATCCTTTGTTAAATATGTCTCTGATTTGTCAGTCGCTTGCTCTTTTATTATTTAACGCAAATAAATTTATTCCATGTTAATATTAAAGAAATGTTAAAAGATTAACAAATGAAAGCAAGAATAAATTTCACAAGTTGTCATGAGAAAAATTACTGAATACCTTGAAAAGGATTTACAATATAGATTATCTGAGAAAAGTAATTATAAAATAAAAAACGAAAATGCTGAAGAATTGAAAGTGATTTTTAATGCTTGTTATATTCAGACACATAAGACATCGAAGAAGTAACATTAATTTCATATTAAAACATAAAATTGTTTTCTCAATTTGAAATGGGGCTTTAACAGGAAAACTTTAAAATGAAATTCCTAATAGCATAATGAAAACTCAAGTCATTATGGAAACTTTATTAGAACTGAGGCTGAATTAGCTTTAAGCTCAATGAACATTTTTTTCCACAAAAATATCTTCATCTGTACAACATATTTCAGATTCATGACAATCCTATTAAATACAGAACTCTTTAAGATTTAATCCTAAACTTTATGTATAAAAAAAATTTTTTTTTAATCATCACAAACATACTAAGAAACATACTGACATAAAAATAGAAAATAATATATGTTAACTTCTGGAATAAATTGTTTCACATACTAAAATTCTCTCCTTACTTTAAGCAATTTTTCATTTTTCTTTTTTTTTAAGTACACCACTTAAATTAGAATTTGATACTTTCCTTTTATAAGATATTTATATTGCCTTCTTAAAGTCAGAGATCTTTGTTAAAACTCTCATTGTTCAATACTGATTATAAAACAATATAAACTTTTCAGATCTTTACTTAATTGTCAAAATACATGTTTCATGCTAATTTCATTACCTTACAAATAAAGAATCCAGACATATATTTAGTGTTTATTGACATTACACAAATGGTATATATGTCAATGCCAGTTTCTTATTCTATTATCAGCCATAAATGTTCAACCTAAGCCATAAGTAAAAGCAGGAATGTATACATAGCACATTCTAAAAGAAATATAAGCCTTACACGAGCATTGCTTAATTCAAAAGAGATGAAAGTTAGTTCTTTCACTTTATATGTTATTCATATAAAACATCTTGGTCTTATTATGCATACTTAATTATTTTATTATAAATAAGTACAATATTTATGTATGAATTTTTTAATAAAGTATTTTCATTAAATTCTAAATAATTTTTAACACAAATAAATATAAAATAATCTTTTTATACATTAATAATGTGAACACAGTCTGTAGATAAAAAGAAAATATGAATTAATAAATTATACTGAATTAATTTATCGAAAACTAAATCAAATCCACCAGAAAAACTAACTTTATCAAAACCTAAAACAAATACAACAGATAAACTATTTTTAAGATGAAATAGTTTTATTACATATAAAAGTAAATTATTTGTAAATTCAATACTGAAAAGAAGAGAATGAATGCTAACACATTTGTGTTCCCTTATCACATCGTTATTATAGTGATCAATTTATCACATATATAAATGAAAGGAATAAAATCACCACAGAGTCAATATGGGTGATAGAATCGAAAAATTTATCATGGTCACGTAAATAAAAACCAGACAGGATTTCATAAAGCTAATGAATTCTACAGAATTTCCCTTCAACAGCATGAACAGAATATATTTTCAACTTATTGATTTTTATAGCTCACAATATTTTAGTAATTTTTGTGTCAAATACAATTCTGTCCTTTTATAAAATGATAAATTTCTGAACTTAATTTGAAAGTAGTTAATATTTAGAGAAAAGTATGTCTGACTTTAATTAAATAATGCAAATGTTATAAACAATTTATAACCAAATTATTCTAATATCTATTTAAAAGCTAAATATTGCATGCTGAGGTTAACTTAAGCCGCTTTAGTTTTCATGCCTTCTTTTTGTTTTTTCTGCTTTTTGGTCTCAGCTTCCTCAATAGGAGCTGGTTTGACAAATGGAATTTCATCTTGCAGATCTGGGGGCATAAAAGGTTTCAGAACTTCTGGAACAGCTATCCCTGTTTCAGTCTGAAAGTTCTCCAAAATTACACAGATCACCCTTGTAGTAGCACACATTGTAGCATTTAACATATGGACATAATCCACTTGCGCATTCATCTTCTTTGTCTGCCCATATCTGACCTGGAGACGTCTTGATTGATAATCTAAACAATTTGAACAAGACACTAATTCTCTGAAAGCCCCAGAGCCAGGGAACCATGCTTCAATATCATATTTTTTTGATGCAGCATTGTTCAACTCACCAGACACAATATTCACAACACGATATGGAATTTGAAGTGCTTTGCAAAATTCTTCAGCATTTGAAATCATTTCATCAAACATTTCCCATGATTTATTATCATGAGGGGAGGTTATACAAAACTGCTCAACTTTCTCAAACTGATGAACTCTGAATATACCTCTAGTATCTCGTCCATGAGAGCCTACTTCTTGCCTAAAACAAGATGATAATCCTGCATATCTAATAGGCAACGATTCAATAGGTAACCATTCATCCCTATGAAATGCTGCAATTGGCTGTTCAGATGTGGCAATTAGATATTTTTCATCCATATTACCATCACCTTTTTCACTGCTCTTACAAATGACTTTGTACAGTTCTTCATCAAACTGACTCAACTGAGCTACTTCTTGCATAATATCTTTGCGAACAAAAAAAGGCGTATAAAGAGGTTTATACTTCTTTTCATACAACATTCTCAGAGCTAACTGTATTAAAGCTTGTTCTAGAAAAACAGCAGCACTTAAAAGATAATAACCTCTGCCACCAGCAGTTACAGCACCACGCTCACTATCCACTCCATCTATCATCGTAATTAAATCAACATGAGAATACTTCTTCCTACTGGTAGTATCCCCCCAAGTCCTGATAATTTCATTTTCTTCTTCGTCATTACTAACTGGTACAGATTCATGTAACCAATTAGCTATTTCTTTTAAAGAAGTATGACGAATTTCTTCATATTTAACTAATTCTTGGTTGCAACGAACCATTTCATCATCCATGAGAGAGCTAACTTTTTTAATTTGTGTGACAGTCAATTTCTGAAGCAAATCAGAATTTATGACACTTAGATCTGAAGAAATGCCATCAGGCAAATTCGGATCATCACCAACAGGCTCCTTGTTTTTCATTTTCTTACCAATTTCCTTGCTGCAAATATTTTTTAGTTTATTCCAATTATCCAATTCATGCCTAAGTTTTCTCCACTTCGTGTCTGCTTCCACCACCTTATCGACCAGAGATGGATCTTTAAATCTTTTAACCTGATTTTTTCTAACTTTATCTGGATCTCCTCCTTTATCTGCTCGGAAGCATTCTATATCGAGTACCATATTTACTAATTAAATGCAAATGTATTCAGTACTTGCGGATCAATCCTTTCACAAATGTACCTTTCTGATCACGTAATTGCAAGACACGTTATAAAGACAGCCGTGTTTAATCAGCGGTAGCGTGGTAACCTGCATTATTAAACCACACAGCTTGGAAAACAGTTCGCTTTGTAATTGCAAGCACTATTTCATCAGAACAAGTTCCGATAACTATTGAATTTTGCTCATTATTAATCCGTAATTTCTCAATTAATTTGAACTTCATTCCGGGTAAGTTTGTTGCAGAAACACGTCTGATTAGCAATGAACATTGCTGCTGTGAAAGAGAAAAAATTTTTTTTTGAAAAATTGTTTTTCTTTTTCCTGTAGATTGCTTATTAGAAGACTTGTACTTGCGGAGCCTTGTGTAGTGGCGATTTTTGCACCAACACACAAACTCGAAAGAACAAGACAAAAGTTGCACACATCGACCTACTTTCACTTAAAAAAAAAATTTCCGGAATTAGGCAAAAATGGCATTGCGCATTCCCTTGACTTTATCCATGTACACACCGACCTATTTTCACTTAAAAAAGATCAGAGAATTGCACAAACTAGGCTTTGCGCACTCCCTTGACTTAAGTGAATATAGTCCATGTACATATGGAACTATATTCACTTAAAAAGTCAAAGGAGCAGCCAACAAAAAATATATAATCTCAGTAAACAACATTTTAAATCAAACAATGAAATAACATAAAAAAGGAAATTTATCGTACCACTACACAAAGGAACTATCCAATTACCTTACTTTTAAATGAATTAACACGTCTTCAGTCAAACAAAATTCTTTAAGAGCATCCAAAAACTTTCTAAAATTATCTAAACTAAAATCTATATACTGGCGTCGCCACATAAATTCACAAAATAAAATCAAAATTATCCTCTGTAGCGACGTTACGCTTTACCTTACACATTTATGACGTCCGACCATACTCATTTCGTTCCTACAAACAGGACGCCTAATAATGGCTACTAACTAAACCTCCATTTATACACCAGTGAAGTAATGATCTTTTCCCCTTTCTTTCCAAATCTTACAGAAACTTCAAATTAATATTACCACATTCAGCCATTTTACCGCCTAAACCACAAAACAAGCAATATCTGACCAACATACACCACAATCCCTTACAAATTTACCGCAATCATGCAACCGATTACGTCATAATAGGGTTTCCATTACATGCAACTAATCAGGCTACCATAAATGAAACAACAACTTGGTGTCTTGGCGATAATGCAAGGGGTACCCTTCTTTCTACTCTAAACGCTTTCCACTACCTTTGATGTTAAACGTTTGGAACTTGGTTGAACTCTTGAAAATGTACTGACGTCTGGACCAAATTCCAAGCTAACACGAAGGGTTGAAGATTTATAACACGAAAATCAAACAAAAACTATCTGTCAACGCTGTAAAAGTCACAGTGGATTTAAATGAACAGTTTGCAATAAAATTAGTAGTGAAACTGTCCGAAATATCGTTATAGCGCACGGATATAACGGGTGATCAGCAAGAAGAAAAGGAAAAATCCCAGTATACCTAATAAGGTATAGTCTTGACGTGATTTTGAAACTAGTCGCCAACACCAAAATGAATCCTTTACTGCTCATTATAAAATCTGTGTTTACTGCTCATCATAATGTCGTCCAAAGTATCCATATTCCGTGTGTACCGTATATTAGGATTAAACCGAAGAAAATTCTTCGTCAACAAGTAAATCATCTTATGTTGGTATCTTACCTACGGTAGGGAACGAGTTATCATTTGAAATCAAGGTTATATTTGCAAACGAGTAACAGGTTAATACAGTTAGGTAGAGCGGACAAAATTACTGTGTTTTGGAAACCGGAAAAAATTTAATTCGAAGAACTTTATAACGTCTTATATGTTTAGCTATCATAAACTGAGCTCAACGTTAGAAGTGTTTAGTGAATAATCACTAAGTCCTTAAAGAACTACAAAATCAGAAGAAGGGTGTAAAGAACTCTTTATTAATTGAAATAGGGTTCACAGACGGCAACTCGTGCTTTCAAAAATCAACACTTTTGGCTTAACTAAAAAGGTAATAAATAACTTAAAAGTAATGAAATTAAGTATACCCTAACGGCTTCACAAGTTAACTATCGCGCGAGGTGGCTGTGACTTGAAAAGTCTGCGTAAACAAGCCTAACAGCAAGTTTAGCTCAACACCACAGAAACCTAATCGCTTGAGAATCAGGGTTAGCAACGTGGCTTTCAAGCGGGCAGAACACACTCTGATTTCACCTTCCAAAACCTTCCCTTAAATACTACTCCGAAAACTTCCCCTATTTAACGTTTTCTATCTCATTTGAATGCATACTCACTGGTCACTTTGCATTCTGGCAAGAAAGTGTGAGTTGACAGCAAGAGCGATAGGAAAGTTGCTCAAGCATAAAATAACTATTAAGTAAATTACATAAATACACGCAACTTATTAAACTGTTAAGCATGAGGGTGGAGGCATGATGATTTAGGAATGTTTCGCTGCCTCTGGGATGGAAAATATAGTTTTTACAGAAAATGATATGGATGCTTTTAACTAGATAAATATTCTTAACGAAAATCAGAAAGCATGGACAAGAAAGCTTGGAATGCAAAACCCATTCAAGTTCTATCAAGATAAAGATACTTAACATACAGCACTAAGTGCTCGTTTATGGTTATTATACAACTGTTCTGAAATTTTAAAACTCTTCCATTTTCTCAGGACTTAAATCATATCGATCGTGTATGAAGTTGGAGAAGGAATAGGGAAGTCTTCGAGAGCTCTACTAAAAGCAATTTTTATGGAGGAAGAGAGCAAAATATAGCATTCTTACGCGAAAAAAGTTAGTTAAACCCGTGCCAAAGTGCATGGAGAGTATAATTTTAGCTAAAAGATAACAAAACGAAACAATAAAAATCTTTTTGTTTTCATCTATTTCAAATATGTAAGGTTTATTTAATTTACATAGTTATTTTATATCTGAATCTTTACAGTTTTCTTTCCATTTTCCCGCCAGAATGTAAATTAGTTCGTTTGTATTTAAGTGGAAGTTTGGGATTGTTAAGTCAGACACCTATCGACTAGAGAATGAAAAAATTAACCATAAAATAATGAAAAACCTTTCAAAATCCATATCAGAAGAGGCTATTTTTAAAAATCTAACGGATAGAAATTTCAAAACAGTTTACAAGAAGAATAGAAGATGCGATTATCAAACTTCCAGTTTATTTTATAGAGCTTGATAACTCTACGGAAGGAAAAGCGATATTTAAAGTAAATAACTTATTCACTTTTAACGCTAATATTGAGACACTTAAAGAAAATCAAACTCCCAACCCAGTGCTTTAAATGCTAGCGGTTTGGGCACATACAACATCGATGTCTCAATGAACGAAGGTATTACAAATTCGGGAAAAATCAAAGCTCAAAATGTATTTTAAAGACAGGTGAAAACCCCCAACTGCCTTTTCTGTAAACAAGATCACGTAAGTTCGTATCGTGATTGCCACGAATTTCAAAAAAGGATTTGTGGGTATAACAAAAAGAAGCCACTCCCAGCATGATTATAGGAATTTCACGGCGTTTCCACTTCCACTAATGCTGAAAATTATAGTTCCAAAAAATTCAGTTACAACGAAATGTTAAAGAAAAATCTACTCTCTCAAAAAAAAGTAAAGCCCATTTTTGAAATTTTCCCAAACTAGGATTTCTAAATTTTATCCAACAAATTATATTTATCGTACAACAGCTTGAGAATGCTAAAACCCCAACAGAGAAGTTCGTATTAAAATTCCAGGCTGTACAGTTACTTATAAATTTCTCCGAACTTGAAGAATTAACTACCACTTTCGTACATGAAGGAACAACCGAGCAATAAAGCATAAGGCCGCGCTCGCTACTTTCGAAGCAGGCTCGAACATCGCTCGTGGCGAGTGGACTTAAAAATGATAAAATTCTTGTTTTCCTTTCAAATTTAAATGCAGATGGCCTCACACACCACGTTTTCATTTTCCCATCCGCTTAATGCTTTAGGGGCTACATCATATGAACTGGCAAAGACCTTCACAGGTCCTACATCTTTCAATGAGTGATGATATGACATGTTTTCCTGGCCGGCCGATCTCTCTGCCATCGAGAATATGTAGGCTGCTATCAGACGTGTTGTGCACAGGCTTACCGTAGAGGAACTGATGAGAGCTGCAGTGGATTCGGCTTGACAAAGAATATCTCAGAGACCATTAATAGGCTCGTAGACAGTATACCTCGCCTCGTTCAGAGGCCTATAGGGCCGCCCGGTGGCGGCGATATTAAACACTGAATAAACAGTTTAATTTGTCATATCTTTATTTGTTTCTTATTTATTCATCTTCATATGTGTCTTATTTCAACTTATCCAGTTATTTTCTTATTGCTACGTGCATTCCTTCCTGTTGTTGCAATTTCACTTTTGACGAGTGTACATTTACATGTTTGAGCCCAAGTTAACCTTTTAAATTTTAATGATGTGTTCGTTGATCTTTGTAAAAAACTCGTTAAACTAGGCAATTTCAAGCAGCTAATTTGAATCAACTTATTAACCTCTCAATTCAAAACTGTGTTTTAAAAAAAGCTAGCGCTTCGTCCCTTAGCTCAGAAGTATAGGTTAGTATCTTTCCTCGAAATTTTGTGAAATGGTGAAAACGTTCAGTAAGACTAGTTACTATATTAAGAAAAATGTAATATTCTATTTCTGTTGTAAAATATTCAGTGACATCAATAATTCATTGACTTTTAAAGTAAATTTCATTATCAAAATTTATGCTTCTGATCAGATTTATTAGAAAGATTAACAATTAAACAGTAGAATACAAAATGCAAAATTTATTAAAAAGTGAAACTAAACACTGGTTCAAGTCATTGCAAGTTACTTATTAAACCAAGCAGAGAATTAGACATGACAATGGATCCGAAGCGGAAAGTGTTGAATAATAAGAGGTTGAGTTTTAAAGCGTACGAAATGGGATTACTACAGACCCTTATAACAGCAGACAAAGTGAAAAGACATGACTTCTGTGCAAAACTGCCATTAAAAATGGAC